AAAATAAACAGGTGCATTGCCATATTTTTTTTTGGTTTACCGATGTGATTCCACATTCTTACATCGTGAGCATATTATTCAACTTTTCTATTGCGGCTCCGAATACAGTTTAGTTAAGACATAGGCCAAACCTTTCGCTGTAATACTCCATGTCGACTATTCGAGAGTTTTGACTGTACATGCAAAACAGTAACTAAACAACAGCCAGCGTGATGTATATAAGAAGCAGCACATTTTAACATCTTTACACAAAATTATTGCTTAATTTCTGTTTCGCTCCAAAATGTAGACCAGAGCTATTCTGCGGCTTAAGAATAAATTCTCCTACACAATATTTTATTGAACATCATTCAAGTACGCATCTGCAAATTCCTATGTGGCACAAGAAGATTACCTTGCTGAGCCATTGATGTGCTCTTGATTTGTGCTCGCCAATCTAACAATTAGTATTTAACTATTACACTGTAATGACGTGACCTTCAGATTTCCATGTTATGATTATCCGTCAGTTATTCGAAAAATTCCATCATTTCTTCTTTCAATTTTGTTTTCACGATGCGATGAAGTAATTCCGTCTTGTTAAAAAAAAGTAATCATTATTCTCTAGCCTGGATAATCCTAGGCTGTTGACTTACATTAACCGCCGGCTTCTAGGCCAATCCCTTTTAGTGGGTAAGAGCCACAAGAGAGGATCAAGGAAGCAAACTACTACTTAGTGAAAGGTATAAGACGATATGAAGCAAGCGAAGTCTCTTTCCAAGCGACGAGTTCCTGGTATGGGGTATCTGGTATGCTAGGCTTCCAAGCGTGAAGTGCCGATAGGGTCTGTTGTACTCCGACTGATATCCTAAAGGCTATGTTTCCCAAATGTATGTTTAGCTTCAATTGAAACACAATATACGAGTGTGCGAATTAACAACACGTAAAGGGAGATTGAGAGGCGAAAATAAAAGCCACAATACTGTGAGCACAATTGGTTTTAGAATAACTGATAACCTTTGCCATCCTCTATATTGAAACCGGCATGGTACATTTGCAACACAGAAATAATTTAATTAATCTACGAGTGAGCAACATGAAAAAAATAAATGTATGTTTAATGATGCTACGCTGTACAGAAAAATCTTTTTATGCGAGAAGTTATGCGGGCAACATCCTTCACCGCAAAACAATATGTCTGTGTCCGGAGGTACATGCTGCTTCAAGAAAAAATGGCGCTCCTACTATTATACCTATCTTGTAGTGACTGCATTTGCTATTCATCTAAGCTCCATAATCCTTCATTATGTTATGTTGATATTCGACAGAAAAGGCTTCCGCGAGCGCTACATGGAACAAAGGGCCGGCACTGCTCAGAATGGCCATCGGCCGGCACGGCATCCCGAACCGGAAGTCTATGCAGACGAGTGCCGTAGGCCACAATTATTTGCGTGAGTTACAATTCGCTGTTCACCTATCATGGACAGTACAGGCTTCGCATTGGATTGTGGTAACTAGTGAAGTGCCTAGAAACCCTTTTCTACAGTTTCCGGTTTGTTTTTCGTTTAGCGTGCGTAGTGGGGTCTGGTGCAAAGCACTGAAGTTGCGCCATTGAGGATGAAGACGGCTAGGTTTCTTGATTTGCTTTGATGTTGAGGCTTTGCAAGTTGTATTTGTCAGTTAAGGCGAAGCGTCGTGCACTCACCAATGCGCATAGATGTAGCGTTCCATGCTAGAGAAACATATTGCGTCGAGTTCACGTTTTTTGATAATTGCTTCCTGCCGAATCTCACTTAAATCGACTACAAAACGACGACGATGTTAGGTAAATGCACTGTCACGCTCCTCCGACTCGACTTCACAACAAAACGAGAGGTGCGTTGGGGGTGGACCACGCGGACAGATTCACCTTGCATCAGAGCAGATGAAACGGCCAAGTGTTTTCACATATTAATTTACCGTTATTTCCAGAAAAAGATAATGCATACTTTCAAGAGAAAAACAAGCATCATTGTTTCTATGTTTTCTAAAAAATATTTGACTATATTTTGATGCCAAATCTGGAACGCAGTGGCCCAGCAATGCACATACTGGTAAATAAATTTGTCCTGGTTTCACTTCTATCTCATAGTCACATAAAGCTTTTTGCAATAAAGTTTGCGTAGAAGAAATAAAACAGCTTTCAAGTAAACATAACTTCGTCTTACTTTGTTTTACACTCGGAAAACAAGCGTCGCGTACCTCAGGAACTTCATTCATCCGAAGCGGATTCAGAGCATGTACTTTCCATAATTTTCATGGTAGTACAAGCACCGCTGAAGCAGCGTTCGCAAACACTAGCCAGCTTCTCCTCTATGTGTTATTATATGAAATTCATTGTATAAAAGTACAAGTGCTTGAGAGAAAGACAGTGAACATAACTTTATTGTAGTCAGATTAGGAAGGTTTGGGATCCGCCAGCCTAAGCCAGGTAGCCAGGTAGCCACCTCTTTTGTTTCCTGTATGGCCTAGTACTTGCTGAAATACCAGATTAACTGAGATCAATACCGCCTCCCACCCCTCTGGACAGGGAGTGGCCAAGAGAACGGTACAAGAGGAAATCCTTCCTGCTGGTCCAAATAATGTGACTGAGCGTGGCTATCGACCCACAATGCAAGCAATTTAGACCCACAGTGTCGGGGTGGATGCGAGCGAAAATGAGAAACGTTGCCTATTCGCTCTGATATTTTATATCTGACATCAAAGGTCAACTGCAAAACCATATATACAAACTCGCCACTAGTGAAGGGGACGAGTGCCAGAATGCATAAATGCAACAAAGAAACTAGCACAATATCGCGGCAAGGTATCAGAAAATTTCACAGGTGACCTAGATACACATTATTACTTATGCACTTTATACTTGCATCCCAGATCATACGGTATCTTAATTTTTTTGAGATGACTTTGGTAAAAACGTCATTACTTCATCTATCCTCATTTTTTGTTCCAGTACTCTTCCACAACTTAGGTGACTCAGAGTCTCGTGAATGCATGATGCAGTTCATTGTGGGCAGTTTCAATAGAAAGCAAGCTTTTGTCATTATCTACAGATGCTGCGTAAAAAAGTTGTTCAGGCACGGACAATGAAAGTGACCGTATACACGTTTTAGGCAACACCAGCTGTTTATATTTGCTAGATCAGGCGAAGGAGTTCACGGTAGTGTGCCCCTAAGGTATTTCGCTTGCAACAGTATAGGTGAGCACTCTTTCGAAAATAATCTTTGCATGCTCCTTTTTCCTCAGTGTATATTTTTTTTGTAAATGTGAAATGCTTCCAAACATCACAAAATAATTCTTTTGTTTACCGAGAAACTTGGCCTGACCACAAATCAAAGTGAATGAGCTCCATGACTATTCCGCGAACGAAGAATTGAAACCCAGCGCCCCTCTGCTCTTGTCCCATTGCGTTTTTTGTTTGCCAAGTATGTTAGGCCCATGGAAAAGACGCACACACACACACACACACACACACACATTATATATATATATATATATATATATATATAGACACCCCACAAATATTATGGTTGTCTGAATGTTTACCACAGGTTTACCACAAAAGCCGCTTTCACAAACGAACTTGTCTTGATATGAATATGCAGCCTAGACTTGAAATAATTTTTCCCTAGGCCCGTAGTCTGATAAAATTTAAGAAATAAATCCATAATCACACTGTTTTGTCACTCAATTTTAAGTTTTCATTACAAAAACTAGCCTACACGATACTTTCATTAGGAAACTAGCGAATATACATGCCAGACATCGCGATTACGCTCTGTATTCTCTGTTTCTGTACACAAAAGTTCTTATAATCTGTTACATACACTTCTATAGATAACTGTGTCTTATAATGCCCTTTTTTAAGGTATATTATTGACTAACACATCGTGAATCAAGTAATAAATGATCTACAAAAAGACGTTTTTTGCAGTGTGCATAAATATTCTTGTCATTTTGTATGAAAATGAAAATTCGGTTGGAATACAATGTTGACACCCCTGTATATATATATATATATATATATATATATATATATATATATATATATATATATATATATATATATATATATATATATATATATATATATATATGTATATATATATATATATATATATATATATATTCAGCGGCTTTTATATAAAAACATAAATATTTATTTATTCTAATCACCAGTAGCTCTCACACATGATTCTGATTTCATCACTATAGCGACTAAAAAATAATGATATTCCACCATATGTGGTATTGCACGAGCGGGAATATTGTGTGTCACTATATTTTATACTTATAATTACATCTGCCAGATATTTCACGTAGCGACATATACAACCTGTGTTTTCAAACAAATGTGCGCCTGATTCGGAGAAGATTACGCAGACATTTACTCATTGGACCTGTTGTTGTCACAGTGCATGCGGGTTATTACCTTAAAGAAAACGGTCAGCCGGGAAACATTTCGCTTCATGGGAGCAAAGGGCAGTGCTATTGTCTATGTGTGACATGCTAGTTGTTAGGTTAACACACACACACACACACACACACACACACACACACACACATATATATATATATATATATATATATATATATATATATATATATATATATATATATATATATATATATATATATATATATATATATATATATATATATATATATATATATATATATATATATATATATATATATATATATATATATGCAGAAATTTAGGTGCTAGTTTTTTATTGAAACTCATTCTTATTGTCTAGCTGAAAAAAAGTCGTACAACTGTAGAGCACTGACTCGCTCTCAATGTCATAAGGTGCCACATTTTAGTGCCTTTGTATTGGCGCGAATGATCACCGTTTGTGTGTTCACAAAAACAAATTGTCAGTAAGAATAACTGGGACGTCTTACTCCTTCACATAAATGAAAACAGACAGAGGTGTTGACGCAACAGCTCCAGTACATATAATGCATTTGCGTGTCAGCTTACCTAGTGCACATTTAGGTCTTTTTTAAAGTATACATTACAATTACATATAATGTTGATTGGTCCCACTGCCGTACTTTTTGGTGCTCTTGCCGGTAATGTGCATGTCTTTTCTGCCGCATCTGTGATACTCATCCCCATAAATACCCAAGTTTATGCTGTATTTGTCCCGAGATAAACGTCTGGTTTTGAGTGATCCGATTGCATTCGTACTGAATTTGTAATTTACTAACTATGTGAATGTAGTCAACCTTCTGATTATCATCCACTTGGAGAACACTCGCAAATGTCTTTCTTGTTTTTTGTGAAGAAGCTTATTTTCCTGTACAAGCTTAACTATACAGTTCACTAGTAAAAAACAAGTTCGGGAAAATGGCAATCGACTGCGTGAGATATCCTAGATCTTTCGGGTATCGATGCATAGTACTTTTATAGAAGCTGTAAAAAATGTGACTTGTACAGCCGCAGCTGAAATACATCGGCAGTTGGCAAACGAATATTTTGGACGTCTGTATGTTTACCACAGGTTTATAGCGTATTTAAGAAGCCGCTTTAAGAAACGACCTTGCCTTGATTTGGGTATACAGCCTAGACTTGAAGTAAAGTAATTCTCCCCTAGACCCGTGGTGTGATAAATATCAAAAATATATTCATAATGACATTGTATTGTCACTCGTTTTAGGTTTTCATTATAACTACTAGCCTTCACAATACTTTCATTAGCACACTAGCAAATATACGTACTAGACATTGCGATTACGCTCTGTATTTTCTGTTACTCTAAACAAAAGTTATAGTATCCTGTCAGGTATTCATCAATAGATGGTCGTTAAAGAGTCACCTTTTTAAGAAATATTATTTACTTACACATCGCGAATCAAGTATTAACTGAGTTTACATAATGCCATGTTTTGCGTTGTGCATAAACAGTATTGTCATTTTCTTGGTATAAGAATTCTTTTGCAGTATAATTTTCATACTGTTTTACGCGAGCTCGAAATATTGTTTCACGAATATCTGTACTTTATTACAGGTACGTTAAGTGTCGCCTGGCATACAAACTCTTACTATGGAGGCAGTGATGGCTACTTTAGCACCAGAGTAAGTAAAGAATGCTTTCTTTTGCTTGAACAAACTTTTGCAGATAACATCAAATCCCATGCCACCTTGGGATTGGTTCAATTTGAGTCAGTCGGGAAGTAGTAGTCATATTTGCATTTGTTGGCTTTGCGCTGATTGTTTCACATAAGATCACCGTTTTCTTGTAAGTGCGGCAGTTGCAAAGGGTAAGCAAAAGATATTGGTTGAGGTTTATTTACCAGGAACGCCCTCTGCGCGGTTGTTTAGATGCCAATTTTCCACATGACTGGAAAGTTGGCAATGTGATACCTATCTTCAAATCTGGAAATAAAGTGATGTACAACTATCGTCCCATATCCCTCACTAACATTCCTTGCAAGATACTTGAACGCATCATTGAATCTAATATTACCGAGCATTTAGAATATAACCTTTACTCTTTTCCCCAACAGCATGTCTTTAGAAAGGGTTTGTCTTGTGAAACCCAGCTTCTTGAATTCAACCATGATCTTCATTCTAATATGGATGGCAACTCACAGACAGACTGCATATACGTTGATTTTTCTAAAGAATTGGATCGTGTCGCACATTGTCGTTTAATTACTAAACTGTCTTCCCTAAGTCTTGATTCTCTAACCATATCTTGGCTCCGGAACTATTTAACGTCAGGCAAGCTGTTTACATGGGTCAGTAACACCTCATTTTCATTATCTGACGTTACTTCTGGAGTTGCTCAGGGCAGCGTCCTGCGTCCTTTATAATTTCTAATCTACAATAATGACATTCCATCTGGTATCTCATCAAACATCCGTCTGTTCGCCGACGATTGCATCATATACCACAAAATTATTAGTCCAGCAGACCATCTGGCAATACAACAGGATCTCGATCAAATCACATTTTGGTGCTCAAAGTGGCAGATGGCGGTAAACACTGTGAAATGCAAACTAATGACATTCAGCCGGAAGCAGTCAAACTCGTCTTCCCTCACCAATAAACATATTCCCTCACCAATAAACCTATATTGGCAACAGACCACTAAATGTACCTTGACATTACCTTAACTTCGAATCTATCCTGGTCAACGCACATTGGAAACATTACTGCCACAGCATCGCGCACACTTGGATACCTGAAACGTATTCTTCATATGGCACCATTCATAACACGTAAACTAGCATATCAAACATTTTTCTGTCCACAACTCGAATACGCATCATTCATATGGTCACCTCACCAAGCCTATGTCATCGACTCACTAGAATCTGTGCAAAACTGCGCTGCACGTTGATTGCGCGTGAATACAATTGCTATTCCAGTGTGAATAACATGAAGGCTTCGTTATCACTACCATCCCTGGAATTGCGCAGGAAGACAGCTACTCTATGTTTATACCATAAAGTGATCTACAACACACACCTAAATACATTGCCACGAACAAATCCCCATCGCACATCTCACAGGCTTCATAATCAGCATAGGTTTGCTCGTCATTTCGGCCGCACCCAAGCATCTAACGCGTCCACAATAGCACGTGCCATAGTTCAATGAAATAACCTTCTTGATGATGTGGTATGGATTAGTGATCACGTGGCGTTTTAGAATAAAATACTAACTATATATGACTGTGTTTCCCAAGCATGTATTTTATATTCTTGTTCATTCATTGTACACTGTAAGTGTATAACGCATATTAGTGTCATATTACTACAGTGTATGCTATCGAACATTTTATCAATTGTATATTACGTGGCTTTTGAATTTTTTTCGTTTGTTTTGTGTTCTTTTCAAATAACTATTGTATAGCCCCCTCACATAATTCTCCTCTTGGAACCTGTGAGGTAATTGCAAACAAAATAAATAAAGTAATTCAGAGTTTGACGTAATGTCAGCCCTCATGTTACAACACGGGTGTGAGTTCTAGTCAAACGAAGTACACGACACGATCAGACGATAAAGACTTGATGCGTGACTTTCATCAGCGCATTGTTCATGCAGCAGGTAATGATTGAATATAATATGCTGAATGATAGAAATACAATGTAATGTTTATTAATAGCCATAAAGGGTAGCCAAGACTGACGAAGGAACTAAAGTTTACTGGCTACGATGTCTTTATTGTAGGAGTGCACATGTAGTGTTTTTACTTTGATACAAAAAAGACAGCCTATATTGTACCTACAATGAAAGTATCACCGGCATTACGCCTGCATAGGATCGCTTTAACGAAACTTCAACACCAGGCATTGATCTATGGTAGAAAGCCTGACTGCCACTCAGCATGATTTTGTTGTATTCACACAAGGATATATAGCATGTTTTGCAAAGGTAGGCTGAGCCCTGTTGATGTCAATTTTACTGCGGAATCAACAATGTGGACATATCAAGCAGATTTTGTTTGTGCTGCCGAATGCATGGCTGCAGTATGTCCATTTACTATTAGCGACTGGTCGTACAACAGCTCTGAGGCACCTGAGTGTGTTCTATCAAGTAACGCTACCACATTGTCGTTCAATGTGAAAACTGGTGCGAATATTTCAATGTGAAAACCACTCCTCACATGCAACATGCACAACAAGAACAAGAAAAAAAACACTGCGCAGACCTTGCATGACGCAGTGGGGTCACTCCACATACCGAAGAAAACAACATAAGCAGTACAAAGCGCTCTCCGCGATGCCGCTTCTGCAGAGAAACCAGGTATTTTTCATATAGCAAGAGTTAAACAATCGCTCTAAACGTTCTTTTTCGCCTTCTAATAACACCTACGAAGCCTATGAATGACTGCGGAAAAAGCGTTCAGCAGCTCCAACACCGATGGTCGCTAAGGTAGGAGCCACGTCACCGGACACAGTGGAAACGCATGGCTAGAGTTTCATTGGTAGCTACTTCGCACCAAATTTTGTAACTTATGACCCTCTCTGCCGACAAAGATCTCAGTTTGGGCCCATGGCTACTTTAGGGCGACTATCAGGTTCTATTTTGGCACATTTACTGTCAATTCCGTCTTAATATTTGAAGATAACATAGTAAGTAAGCCGAAAGATGTGCCATTGCAGGAAGTTTTTTTTGTCGTATTGACCTGTCGTTTTGTGTTCCCCACACTACTGGGGTAGGCCCTATCGCACAGCCTAAGGCCCCGCATGACCGTAAATACGAAGCGATGAGCACATGCAAATAAACACGTGGTTTTCTCTGAAGCTAGGTTATGATGCTGAACACACTGCAGCGAGAGAAAGAGATATCAGCAACACTATGAAGCTTGAATGTTAAAGTTCGTACGGCATTCGTTACATTTAGCTCAGCTATCATTACCGTAACCCCATACCATGTTTATTGGACGGCTCTAAGAAAAAATAGATTCAACGTTTCATGCTCTGACAGAGTTGTTGACCGAAAATTTCTTTGCAATGATTCTATCGTAAAGAAACTGTATTCAGACAGGGAAATACAAATGATTATTCTTTATTTGCTGCTTACCTGCTGCTTGGAGACCAAGAGAAATCAATATAAAGTTTCTTTGCTTGTCTGCTTCATTCTCAATCACTGAAAATAATCTGAATAAGCTCTTCATAACAATATTTGTACCTATAATATTGTTTTTCTATGTTTGCGAAAGCATGGCACTAAGCGTAAATGCTAAGACAACTTTGGCTACGCTTATCTCGAGTTTTGGTTCTTTTTCAACTCCCCTCAATTGCTACCCGCTCACTGCATTCTTCTTTAACCCTTTGTCGGCCAGTAGGACTATATTGTGCTATTTACCTTTACCACGTTTTAATTTTTACAGTGAAAGCTATCATTAGATTAGAACTCGGGTCACGCTTGGTTGTCCGCCGCCGCTGGTGTCCGTAATCACAACCCATGAAACCAGAAAAAGAACCTAGTACCAATTACACAATGGGACTCGAACCCAAGTCCGCCAGGTGCCAGCCCAGTATTTCACTATTGAGCTACGCCGGTGCTTGGGACTTGTTGACAAACTTTCCTTAGGCAGGCTTCATGTCGGGGAAGCAATCACTTCAATACGACTCATAAAAAGTTTTACAACAGCGAAACAACAACCAGCCGTCGGACAATGCGCGTAGGGTAACGAGTGGGTCGTTTAAAGCTCCAACACGGTACAGAAGCTTGTTCTTGTTCCCCTATTAACTGTGGTGCATACCCACTTCAGCCATAATTCCTCATCATCGTCAGCCACTGCATGAACAATTGGCACAGAATTCCTTGCAAGTGTTAGGCGGATTCCACACTTCTCAGAAAAATGACGAAAAACAGCATAGCAAATGCCGGCTTCCTACCCCAAAATTTTTATCATTAATCCCGTAGTGGGTATCAAGCAAGTGTGCTTGCAGTTTTACCCAATACGTGTTTAGAAAAGGCTCTGAAAGCCGCTCTTCAAGCTTTCGCTGTGACTGTGCTACGCCTTCTGCGCAGCCCTGGCGTTATTTTTTCTGGGGGGAGGGGGTACTTCGTTTTTCTGGTACTTCCTTGGGGTATATCGACAAAAATTATTGGTCTGTCTGTCTGTCTTTCTGTTTGGCGGTCTGTCTGTGTGTTTGTCGGTTTGTTAAATATAACGTTCCTTTAAATGGTTTCTCACGATTCGCCAAACGGCCCACCACATCTGCAGCACTCACCAATATTGCTGAAGTTTAAGCGCATTATTGCGCATATCTAAGGCCCCATAACAACACTTCAATATTATGTACGTGTGTTTTTTTTACTAGAAAAGGCATACACGAGGAATTCTAAGGACCGCAGCGTTTATCACGCTGCGCTGACCATGCTTGCGCGAAAAGGCATGCGTTTCCAACGCCTTGATAAGGCGACACGGTGGTGGCACTTGCCCATCGCTTTGCCTTCTACACCTTATCACCTCCAAGACAGGCGTGCACACGTTCCTTCATTTTCGGAGATAACTGGCAGATAGCGCCTGTGTCTAACGGGCCTTGATGCGCTAGTTCGTCATAGCTGTACAGATTGAGACACTCTAACGAAGCGCCTTCCAACTCCAATTCACCGGTTTTCTCGCACAGAACATCACATAAACATTTGGTTCACTCTCTCCAGACGCAAGACTATCGTCTTTTGACGACATTTGTGCTGAAACATGCAGATACGGGGCCAATTTTTTCAGATAAAGACAGCTGAATAGGTTGCTTTAGACCTTCTATTGCAACCCCGTTCCTTTTGCTGAAAGAAGGTCTCGTTACTCTTTGAAGCCATTGACAAGATAGCAGCCCGCACACGCTCAAAACAAACCACTGCACTAGCACGCACTGTATACTTTTAGGATCCGATTTTGGAATCCTCCGTAACCGATTCATCACAGGATTTAAGGTTGTAAATTTATTTCGTACTTACGATTTTTCTAAATGTCTCCCTATTGTGTTTTAGTTGATCCTACCCATAGAGTTCTCTTTAAACTTTCTGAAATATAAATTTTACAGGCGTTTCATGATTTATTCAGTCTGACTATATTATACAATGACAGTCAGTCTAAAATTGTGTAAATCTGATTGCAGTATCCATTTACCTTCTCCTTCATTTAGGAAAGTCTCTTCCAGCGAAAGAAGTAGCTGATCTTTCTTTCATAGATAAAAGATAGGGTGCTGCTGACATGCCTAGTACACACATACGATGATGAAGCGCCATTAGTGTGAGTAGATGTAAAATATACATTTCTAGAAGGGAAGTTTTTTCTTTTTGGCGCACTTTACTTTGTTGGTGGTATGACAGCCAAGAGCTCGCATAACAATGAAATCTTTTTTTTTCTTTCTGATTCCGCTGTTTTTCAGTAGGCAGTGCAACACACATGTTCACTTTCTTTCTCAAAAGCCTTATGGATTGAGCGCTCGAACTTTCTACATACTATAACGAGCTGACACAAACTACAATGTCGCCCTCAATAAATGACGTGCATTGTTCATAACATTAGTCTTCACGAAATGCGAGGTCGCAGCTACGTAGCCATCTTGTGAAATAAACGCACACATTCTTTGCAATTTTGTAAAGATCCGTAATCGCACAGACAAATTGAGATCAGAGAAGTAAAAGATTCTTATCATAAGTTTACTCTTCCAATATCAAAACACAGACACTCCCTCTAATACTGAAGCTACAGTGTCGACGGGCAACAAAACTGAAAGAATAAATGGAATAGCCCTTCAGTTCGGCAAGCTTCATTTGAGGGACGCATCATTCTTCCAACTTTTCATGAGATGTAGGTGATATTGCTGCATTCACATATTAGGCTCGATTCAAAAATGTAAACCTAAAACTGCTATTTTATTTAAATGAAACCAGGACTGCGACACGGAGTAATTATTGTCACTTCGTGTGTATTCCCTATTACTAGGTAAACACTGAATCAATGTAATACACCTCACGTGCTCTTTCTTCATAGGTTTGGCCGAAGATTTCTTGTTATTATTTTGTTTACATCTACGGACATGGTTGGGAATACAGATTTAACCCAGACGGGACACCATGCTGGGTAAGTGCTGTATAATTCCGGAAATTGAATATTATTGAAGTGCAATGGTCTCGTCAACAAAAAATTAACATTTATTTATTGTTTGGTTGATTGTGAAGCATCAAAGAGACCTGTTATGAACTTTGACGAATACTTTATGTCTGTAAATGAAATTATAGAAGCAAATGTGACAATTCAACTTTCTTGAATTTCTGGCGCACACCCACACTGCATGGGATTTGCCAAGAACTGAATAATTATTATTACAGAATTCTTCAACAAAACGGAGGTTTCTTTATTTAAAGGCAAGAATAAATATGAAACAGAAAGAATTTTTTGTTGACATAATGAACTGTTATGAATTACCAACAATGAAATGGCAAACTTGAATTTAAAGAAAAATTGAAAAAGTGAAAACATTAGAACGATCATTGATTTTAAAACGAAACAAGCTTGCAATGCGTCAGAATTATGCATACATGTTGATATAGGTTTGGCTCTCACCCACCCTAACGCTTTTGGCTCTCACCCACCCTGACGGATTGGCCAAGAATCGGGTAGCTTAACATAAAAGGAGTAGATATATTTAAACACTACCGAAAAAATATTAAAAGAAATATTATTTTTAATTCCTCCCCAAAAAAATTGGGTGAGTTAGGTCCCACTGAAGTAGTAATAAATCATTGATATCATAGAGAACTTTCTGTAGCCTGCACTGGTTAACTGAGAACCTTTTGGTATCCAGGTTATTGCATAAATCTCCTCGACTGTTTAATAAAATCTTGCACGGCATCGCACACTTTCCCATCACTGTGCCGTAGGCTATGCGCACCTAAGAATAGTAAATCTGACGTGGTCAAAGCTAATCCAAGGATACGTAACGGCATTTCTAGCGATACCTTCGTTAATGTTGAAAACTTTCGACTAGAGATAAAAAAGCATAACAGAGTTTGGTATTCTCCACAAAAAGAACAAAGCGGGGAGGGAGTCAAGCCGGCAATGAACAATCAAAAATTCATTGAGGAATACGACAACGTAATTGAGTGAATAAAACTTCTGACCTATGTTATGACTTGAGGAAGTTTGCTAAGGTGTCATTAGATAGTAGAAATTCAGGAAATTTCTTAAAGATGGTGTACAGCATTCTCACACCATCATTTGCTTCCGAAATCTAGCCACTACTCTAAAAGCTGTTGTAGGGGTAACATATTGGCACAATTCTCGACGCACCTTCTTCATTTAAAACTATAGATGATAATCCTGGAGAAGACCTATGGATGAAAGAATATGAATTTACGACATTGTAAATACGCACCACTTACATACCTCATTCTTTTCAGAACATACCCCTTGGTCCTGCGTAAGTGAGGCTTTAGGTAGAAACTATAGACATTTTTTACAGAACTCAGTATTATATTCAAAACTCCCCTTGGTAAAATCCCCTTTATTCGGCCACTGGTTCAAGTAGCAAATGACCTATCAGCAAAACGTGTCCAGTGCGCCTACTCAAACAAAAGTCATCAGATGCTATTCAATTCACTAGTCCTAAAATATGCCCGATACCAAGGAACGAACTACATGATGTCACCCCTGCTTTATGCTTCACATATATAGATTGCTCTATGAAACCGCAACCAAACTATAAAAAAATAGCGCAGCCTACATTAAGTCACTCCAATTCAAGTTACACTGGAGCTGGTGGTTTGCCGAAATATACAACGATCCACGGTTGGTAGATACCGATTTACACTTATGCTGTGACGTAACAACTTTTTAAGGCGCCATAAACGAATCATAACAATTGATCCATTGATGAACACTGAAGCTGTGCGTTCAAATTCTCTTATTAGCCACGTGCACAGAGGTCGTGAGTGGCGATTACCGGAAGAACGATTATTACAGATGTGCAGTATATTATACCACAAAACTATATGACGACAAGAGGAGAGAGGCGCTGCTGACGTTGCACCAAGTCTACCTATTTTTTGTGCTGCTCCTATTTGTAGTTATTTCAGAATACTTAACAATAATTCAAGCAACAAAGCAACGCAAAAAATACTTTACTGAAAAAAAAAGCAGGTGGCCTTGCAAAATATTTATTTACTCAATTTCGCACTTTTTATTTATAAGGAATGCTCTAAGCAGTAATATATCTGCCCCTAAACAATTCATCAAAACACGAAAGACAGCTCGAAAAATGCATGAAACTGTCAGTTACATTCATTTTGGTATCTTTGTCATAAAGTGCGTCGTCATAGTTCAAGACGTATTTTCAAACTCTAGCTGGAGATAGCTGGAGCACCCTGTATTACGATCTTCGAACTATTGTACTGGGGCGTAGTTAATACACTGCATGTGTTTGCGTGCATGGCTCTCAATGAAAACATAATTTGGCGACATCTTGGACTTTCCCCTCATTAAATTCTAACGTATAATCCACAGACGCAAGAAAAATACAATCTTTTTTTCTATTTAATATCTTTACCTTCCATTTATTGCATCTTGTACGTTTTTTATAGTTGACACCAATTCGAAATAGCATTGGCCATTGTCACCAAGGAATGTGTATGGCGAAGAACAGTAAGTGAACTTACTGTAGAATTTATTTATTCATGTTTGTAGAAAAATAATGTGGCGCCAATAATATACATAGGCAATAGTGTTTTCTTAACATATAAGTGCAGAGATATGTACTGGCAATGCTGACAAGACCTTCTATAAACGAGGTATTCATGATCTTGCACTGTGATTGGTAGAACGTGTAAATGATGAAATTTTAGGTGCGACGCAATTTAGCGGCAGAGTTTTAGAAAACGAGAATGTTAAAAGTGCTCGTCTGGCAGGATGCACAGTAAGGACGCCAAAAAGCGCTGGCCCGTACACGTAAGCACCGCTGCAGGTAGGCTCATTTTTTGGAGACGCTCGCGGGCTGCGTTCGCCCTGTGCATTTACATTCGGGTGTCTCGTCTCAACAAAAGTTAGAGTTCACATAGCTTCTTACCACCTAGCCACTTGAGTTTTGTACTGAAGGCCAGTTAAATCACTGTTACAAACTTGCTACTGCTTTCACAGTGTTCTCTGCTCAATAATATTTTTGTTTACTAATGCCTCATTCGAATGTTGTTTGTAACAGTTGACATTATTTTTAATATTGCAAAGTATCACACATGCTCTATTGTATGGGGTCTTCTTCAAGCAGTTCAGGAAAAGTGCTTGAATAACAAAAATATTTGAATGCATGAGCCCCTATCTGTCACGTAAACTCCAGGACGTGCTGGAATGATAGGTATTATTGCTTGCCTGGGTATGCGAGCTAAAATTTTGAGTGTACCTTTTTCCCGCCACTATGCGCATTTCGTAACTGCCCGCTCATCGTATATTCATTTTCGTGTATTATGTCAACCACAGCTTTCTGGTATGCTAAGCACTTAAGTACATGGACTGATCTGTGGTAGCCCCGTAGTGCTTCAATCTATTTCTTGGTGAATGCCACGTAGCCAAATATATACCGGTTAATCATTCTGGTATCGAATAAAAAACGTTTTCTCTCTCTCTTTCTCTATCTGCAATCAGTTCCCATTTTGGACGCAGAATATTTTCATCTGTGAAATGCTAACGTTTGATATCAAATGTTCTTCTAAAACTATAGTACATTTTGGGACAATGTAGTTGTTCTATAGGTAAGGGGCAAAACTCCAACCTGCGGATAAGGTGTCTGTTGTACTACTAATCGTTCCTTTCCCATTTATTTTATTGGTACTTAAGTTTTATCTGATACCGGGACTATCCCGGAACTCTTAGGCAGTCCTATTTGAAGTAGTTGATTATTCAGCCACTTTGACTCCTTTTTATTTCAGGGATATTTACTAAAATGAAAATACTTAATACGAAGATATTTACTTTAACGAAGAACAATTCATACTTGTTAACAATATCGCCTTTAATCTTTCCCCAGTTACTTCTGGTGTACCTCAGGTCAGCGTGCTAGGTGCAATAATATGTTTATATTTATATAAAGGATTTACCCAATAACATTTCTTCAAGCATGCGAGTCTTCGCAGATGATAATATTATATACCGCCCCATTACCTCAGTTACTGACTACCTGACAATTCAGTGTAATCTCAATCTTACTATTGAGTGGTGCAACACAAGGCTAATGAACCTTAACACATGAAAATGTAAAGTATTCCTATTGAGCAGTAAACACAACAATCCTAATTTCATATACCACATTGAAGACGACTTACTATATCACACGTGTCTCATTGCTAGTACCTTGGTGTTCATCTTTCCTCAGATCTGTCATGGTCCTTTCATATTTGATCGGTACGCTCTGGTGCTTCCAAGTCATTAGGTTACACACGGCGTCACCTCAGATATTCACCTGCTAATATTCATAAACTTGCTTACTTCACATTTTTTCGCCCTCATCTTGAGTTCAAATCCTCTATTTGGTCTCCATATCACTATAACAAGGCCAACGCACTAGAATTCATCTAAAATAGGGCAGCACGGTTCATATCACGAAACTATAGTGACCACAGCAGTGTGACAAGAATTAAAACCGATCTCGGCCTGCAGTTTTTAGCCATCCACCGTGACATAGCCCTACTAACATTATTCCACAAGTAGGCCCACTCTGACAAGTCATGTTCATTTCATATCGATGTGCCATCCGGAACTTTCTGAAGGTTCCATATTAACTTGAGCTTTACACGCATATAAGGTCGCACATTAACATTCAACTCATCAGCACTGCCATGAGCAATTAGATTATGAAATAACCTGCCAAAAACATAGCTTTATTGACCAACCCTGACACGCTCCGCAACCAACTAATTGCTCATTTCCACTGAAGTCGTTCATTGTCTAATAATAAAAACCGCAATTTTGTATACAAGTGTATGTATATGTACACATCTATATATGTGAATTGTACCACCATCTTGTACACACGATTTATTTATTTACTATACAATATGCATTAGGTAAATCTTATTTATGAAGTGTTTAACATTTTCTATGTTTTTTTCTAGTGGTATTTCGTTCCTTCACACTTTTTGGCTCATTGATGTTAATTTTGGAGCCCCCCTTAAACAATGCCTAAGAGGCCTGTAAGAAATTTCAAATAAATAAATAAATAAATGCGAATGCGTTCCTATAGTCATCTATGTGTTGGTCAGCTATATCTCTTATTGATTCTACTAGGCTCTTTTGAGCAAAACAAGCGAGTTCTCGATAAATCCGCTCCCTTGTGTGATCGCGTCTGTTTCTTCATCATCAATGTTTCTTATGTACCTGTTCAGAGTTACAACACCCCATGACAAGTTATTCATCGTATATTGTAATCCTAAAAATGACGCATTTTACCAGGATTGCGTTAAAGAGCTAGATTCACAGGAATTCTCGTGTTGGCTTCACTGGTTAGTATTTAAAATAGATGTTGTATGCAAAGGAAAAATGCAGCAAGATGCAAAGAAATTATACATTGAAAGTGTTCGGTACGAGTGAGGATAGAACTCAGGCCATCTGCGGCGCAAGCATGTATTCTACCACACAGCGACGCTATTGATTGAAACTGATTAGGAAAAATAGTACTACATGAGGGTAGTGCAGCAAAAGAAGTCTCCCTAAAGAATCTATGATTACGTCTCTGAAGCCTGGCATACTTCCAGGCGTCAGAACCTTTTGATTACAGCCATCTTAAGGTCCCCACTTTGCAAAGCGCTCGTAGACACTCTTGATCATCACCAGCTGCAAAAACATCGATAAAGTCGATATAGAGGTGTATTCATCGATATAGAAGTGTATTCAGCCCTTTGCTCTTTCGCAAAATTAAGTATTATGACAAATGGCTCTTAAAATGTATTTCTGATGGGCATTCTCACATAGGTCAAAACGGCCAATGCTACCTGAGCAGTTGAGACCAATTCTAAGTGCACAGTGTTTGCTTACGGCACAGTTGAGGCACACACGTAAAACTGAAGCAAATGAGAAAACAATGCGAACAGGGTCCCATTCAGATGTTACGTTATACTCTTGATCTCTGTGCTCAAGCATCCTCCTAGGTGTCTTTGATATGCCTTATACACAATATAGTCCTGGCAGGTCTTGCCTTACGTGATGTTCAATAATATCATTTCGATTGAAACTGAGGCTATGTAATATTGAGGAAGGAAAGTGGTAATAACATTGGTTTGAGTTTTACATCCGAACACCACGACATCATTTTCACAGGTAAGATAGTGCAGGGCTCCAAAAATTTGGATCACGTGAAGTTTTTTCGCGTGTGCCAGACCCTGAACAGATGGTCCTCCAGCATTTTGCCTTAATTTAAAAGCGCCCACCGTGGCCGAAATGCAATCCCGAGACCGGCACATCTCAAATGATGTGCAAACGTTAACTGCTTACTTCTTACGAATAGAAACTACAGTTTTACTGATTGCGTTGCGCATGCGAAAAAGGGATTCCACCTCCTCCTCAAATCGTCCATATAACACAAAAAAACAAGTCATGTGACTTTCATTTCAAAACTTTGCATATCTGTCAAAACGAGTGTCCGTGGCATATGCGTTTCTTTCTAACAAAATGAATGCATTCAGATAAGTGAATTACTCTTATGATAACAATGATAGGCGTTTCTCACAAAGAAATTGTCTTTCTTTTTTTGCTATTCCTGACAGCTTCTGAAGCGCCAAGCTGCTACGACATGAACAATAATGTAAGTACCAAGTTGGGGTGCAATATACTGATCATCAGCGTTTTCTAGAAAGTTTGCTATCTCAGTGCGACAAGCTTTACGCGATAATCAATTATTTGAGTAGGCTAATTATGAGTGATATTGTTACGTGATTTCAGCTGACTGAAAGAGGGCATAGTGGGGCATACCCAAGTAAGGTGCCTCAGACTGAGAGTGAAAAAGTGGACGTTGTCGGTGAGCTGCGTTGTGGCTGCGGACCGACAACTGTTATTTTCCACGTAACATTTTGGTGGAGGTGCTGGGTACTCTTCTGACAACGGAGCTACGCAGTGGACGCCTCCTTAAGTCTGCTACCATGGCTCCGAATGAAGATACGGCTTCGCCACCTACCTCAGCAACGACAGCAAACCGGTAAGTCGCCCTAACGCAACCCCGTGATGCCGGGACCTTTGCTGGAGAGGACAACGCGAATGTGGACAAGTGGCTTAGCATGTACGAGCGCATCAGCAAGCAATAAGGCTGGGACCCAACCGTTATGCTTGCGAATGTCATTTTATATCTTGACAAGACACCTCGCATTTGGTTTGAGACCCACGAGCACGAAGTCACAAGCTGGGAAATGTTTAAACAATAGCTCCGTGACCTTTTTGGCAACCCGTTTGGTCTACAACTAGATGCCCGAAAGCAATTGGCTGTACGTACACAGACGTCCACTGAGCCCTACTTGACTTATATTCAAGACGTCTTAGCGTTGTGTCAAAGGGCCGATCCCAACATGACTGAGGCCGACAAGATTTCGCACGTTTTAAAGGGAATCGCCGACGGTGCGTTCAGCCTGCTTGTATTTACCAACGTAACGACCATGGACGCCGTGATCAAAGAGTGCCGCCGTTTCGAGCAGGCGAAGAGTCTACGCATTTTGCAGCAGTTTCAGCGTTTACCCAACACCGCGGCAACGTCGTTTTGCGAAGCCACTCCTTGTGATCCGTCTACAACCGAAGACGTGACGCGCATAGTCCGACGTGAACTCGAGGCCGCTTACCTGGCTGCCAACAAACCGACGTTGCCCGACGCCTCAACGCCAGCTGTCGCCTTGATCCAGGCTGTTGTCCGCCAGGAATTCGCTAACCTTGGTATCCTGTCCACTGCATCCACACTGGATAATACTGGTTTCTCGATAGCTTCTGTGGACATGAGACGTCGCCGTCCGTACTCAATTCGAACCAGGAACCCGTCTGAATGATGAACAGCTGATGATAAGCCAATCTGCTTCCGCTGTGGTCGCGCAGGACACATCGCTCGTTACTGCCGCAGCCAATGGCCATCTATGTCTTCTGGCTCGTACCCCGCTTACAGTAACTCATTCCATCCACCAAACCACCATTATCCGACCCGCACTGAGTCTACAGCATTTACTGCCCTTGAGACCTACGGCCACCCTGCCCCGTCGTCGCCACCGCCTCAAAGCCGCCCTTCTCGTTCAAATACGCGTTGCCGCTCTCCCTCGCCATCGTTCAATCGCCGCATGTCCCCAGAAAACTAGGCTGCGCAGCTTCTGGAGGTGAAGCTGCCCTGTCGACCTTACCCAAAAGTCATCTGTTGCCCTTAGGTTTGAACCGGAACATCCTGGAAGTATATGTTGATGGCACACCTGTTGAAGCTGTGATAAATACGGGCGCTCACGTCTGTATTATGAGTTCGCGTTTCGTCGTCGCATGAAGAAGGTCCTCACGCCCCCCTTGACCAGTGTCGTCCAAGTTGCAGATGGTGCAAATGTCCCTGTCGTCGGTATGTGCACAGCTCAACTTTCCGTAGCTGGTCATCATGTGGTCGTCCTTTTTACCGTACTTGAAACATGTCCCCACGACCTCATACTAGGCCTCGATTTTCTTGCCGCCAACTCTGCTCTGATTGATTGCTCCGCTGTTGTGCTCCGCCTTGAACTTCCACAAATTAGTGCCGCCCCGTACCAACCTACATGCCGATTACAATGCAGCGACTTTGTTCGCCTGCCCTCCAAAACTGTGACGTACGTCGATTTTCTGTGCTCACCAGCTGTGCCCGACGGTGACTATTACGCTACGCCTCTCACCGACGTACTCCTTGCGCACAATGTTGCAGTGCCCTATACGGTGATCAGCATCACAGATAACGAAACTTGTCTACCTCTTGTCAATTTCGGCTAAAAGAATCATGTGCTTCCACAAGGCATTTCTGTGGCCCACCCGTGTTCGTTGCTCACTTCACAAATTGAAGTGTTTGCCTTAGACACACTTGTTTCACCGCAGCGCACATGACTCGCAACACATTCAGGCAGCCGTCAAATTGTAGACATGATCGCCACTGATCTTCCGCCTCCGAAAGTTGAAGCACTACAACATCTTCTCGAGGCCTACCAGGATATTTTCGATTTTGGTGACCGCCCTCTTGGGCGGACGTCCTTTGTCCAGCATCGCATACACACAGGTGATGCCAACCCTGTTCACCGCCATTCCTACAGAGTGTCTGCTTTTGAGCGGAGCATAATTCAGAAGGAGGGGAACAAGATGCTAGCGAAGGACATTATTGAACCATCCTCCAGTCCCTGGGCATCCCCGGTGGTATTACTTAAAAAGAAGGACGGATCGTGGCGATTTTGTGTGGACTATCACCACCTTAACAACATCACTAAGAAAGACGCATACCCTCTGCCCCGCATTGATGACGCCCTTGATTGCCTCCATGGTGCCGCCTACTTTTCTTCCATCGATCTTCGTTCTGGTTATTGGCAGATTGCCGTGGACCCCATGGACCGAGAGAAGACGGCTTTTGTAACACCCAATGGCCTCTACCTATTCAAAGTCATGCCTTTCGGCTTATGTAATGCCCCCGCCACCTTTGAACGAATGATGGACTCCCTGCTCCATGGATTCAAGTGGTCTACGTGTCTTTGTTATCTGGATGACGTGATTGTGTTTGCTCCCACTTTTGAAGCGCACCTTGAGAGACTGTCGAAAATTCTTGTTGTATTCCGTCTCGCCGGCCTTCAGCTGAATTCATTCAAGTGCCGGTTTGGTCGCCGTCGCATTACAATACTTGGACATATTGTTGACGCTTACGGCGTACAGCCTGACCCAGAAAAAGTTCGAGCTGTGAAGGACTTTCCTGTGTCGAAAACCGCCAAAGATGTCCGCAGCTTTGTGGGGCTCTGCTCCTATTTGCGGCGGTTCATCAAGAACTTCGCGGAAATCGCTGGACCCCTAACAGATTTACTCAAACCAGATGAGACGTTTACCTGGGGTCCCCCGCAAGCAGCAGCATTTTCCGACCTGACCACTTTGCTCATTTCTCCTCCTGTGCTGGCTCACTTCGACCCTACGGCACCGACCGAAGTGCGCACCGATGCCAGCGGTTACGGAATAGGCGCTGTGTTGGCTCAGCGACAGCGTGGGCAGCATCGCGTGATAGCTTATGCCAGCAGGCTGCTGTCCACCTCGGAGCGTAATTATTCCATCACAGAGCGGGAATGCCTAGCGCTGGTGTGGGCAGTCGCGAAATTTCGCCCTTACTTATACGCCGACCATTTATAGTTCTTACCGACCACCACGCTCTCTGCTGGCTCGCCTCCCTCAAAGATCCCACAGGTCGTCTCGCCCGCTGGGCACTCCACCTCCAGGAGTATTCTTACACCGTAGTGTACAAATCAGGAAAACTGCACAAAGATGTGGATTGTCTGTCACGCTACCCTGTGGCCGACTGCGATCCTACGAGCACTGATTCTGTGGGCTGCGTCCTTTCCATCTCCCAGCTGCTTCATCTCGGGGACGAGCAGCGTCGCGATCCGGATATCAGCCGCCTAATACGACAGCTCGAATCTTCACCGCAAGACGCTTCTGTTCGCATGTTTACCTTAAAGAAACACACTTTATATCTGCGTAATTTATCGCCCAATGGTCACAACCTACTTCTGGTCATACCAAAGCACCTGCGTTCCACAGTCCTACGCGAGCTCCATGACGCGCCAACCGCGGGTCACCTTGGTGTCTCTCACACATATGACCGTGTGCGCCGCCGCTTCTACTGGCCTGGCCTTTCACGCTCTGTACGTCGCTATGTCAACGCTTGTGAAATTTGCCAGCGTCGCAAAAAGCCGTCGGGACTACCTTCCGGATATCTTCAGCCCATCGACATCCCATTGGAGCGATTCTTCCGTGTTGGTTTGGACCTTCTTGGTCCCTTCCCAACATCCGCCTCTGGAAACAAGTGGGTCGCGGTGGCTACGGATTACGCGACCCGTTATGCAGTTACGCGAGCCATGCCAACAAGCTGTGCTACAGACGTCACTGATTTTCTACTACGCGATCTCATTTTAGTGCATGGAGCCCCTCGTCAACTGCTGACAGACCGAGGCCATACGTTCCTTTCGAAAGTGGTTGACGATATCCTGCGTTCCTGCTCTACCCAACATAAGCTCACGACATTGTACCACCCCCAGACAAACGGGCTTACAGAACGTTTAAACCGCACCCTGACCGACCTGCTATCGAAATACGTCTCGGCCGACCATCGTGATTGGGACCTTGCACTACCCTACGTGACGTTCGCATACAATTCCTCCCGGCATGACACTGCCGGGTACTCGCCATTTTACCTTCTGTTTGGACACGAACCAACATTGCCGTTGGATACCTTCCTGCCAGCCGCTGCGCAGTTTACTTCTGAATATGCACGCGATGCTATTACCCGAGCTGCCCACGCTCGTCAGCTTGCCCGCAGCAGATTAATGGCGTCCCAAGACTCGCAGAAGCATCGTTACGACGAGCGGCATCGCGACGAACACTTTCCAGCAGGCTCCCTCGTTCTTCTTTGGTCCCCTACGCGACATGCAGGCCTTTCGGAAAAACTTCTCCCTCGTTTCACGGGCCCATACCGCGTGCTTAGACTAGTGACCGACACTACATATGAAATTGTCCCTGATAATCTATCAACCTCTTCCGCTCTGCTGTCAAGGGACATCGTCCACGTATCAAGGCTCAAGCGTTACCACACTGCTCCTGCTCTGGCCCCGTAAACTCGCCGGGTCGGCGCTTTTGCCGCCGGGGGTCGTGTTACGTGATTTCGGCTGACTGAAAGAGGGCATAATGGGGCATACCCAAGTAAGGTGCCTCAGACTGAGAGTGAAGAAGTGGACGTTGGCGGTGAGCTGCGTTGTGGCTGCGGACCGACAACTGTTATTTTCCACGTAACAATATTTTCACAGAATTGATATAGAAAAATAATAGCATTTTCAACATCAAGCAGAATAACATCTAACAAGATCAGATATCATGCATTCTGGGACACCATCTCAATGCTGAACGGCACACTCGTGCAGCAGTGCTGGTCTTGAAGGTTCCGGAGTGTTCTTTTAATTGTACATAGAGATCGTACACTCTGTGCACTACGGCTGGTGTACAGAAGTCCCTTAACATGTGGAAGGGTTTATATTAGGCAAACAGGGCGTTGTTTACCCAATATGAACAGAGACCAGCAGACCCAAACAAAGACCAGCACGTACGCGAATTTACCTTCGCACTGCCACACGTGTGGATGCAGGCCCTTGTTCAATCAAACGAAAGGGCTCTTCAAACATAGCAATCAGATCACAAGAGAACTAGTGGAATCATTCTTTATCAAAAAAGAAGGGGAGTCCTGTGTCAGTCAGACATCAATATCTTTACATGAAGAAGAGGAAATCTTAATCATTAGCATGTTTGTTTGAATGAAATATGCCGCACCTGCGCAATTACCTGTAGCACAAAGTTGTTAATGACGTCGACACGATCCTTCGCCGGGCCTCTGCGCATGTTCTGTGCGTTTTTATACGTGTTCAGATAACTTGTATATTGCAATAAATTCTTCAGTTGAGAGTCAGCGCTTGTTTTTGTCTCTTCTCTTCGTCCCGTGAGTTTATGCGCTGTTTCTGCCCATTATGTATTATCAACTAGCCCAACTTTCAGTCTTGCTTCAGCAATACTCAGATACATTTCCCTTTGCGTAAATGAACATTTCAGATACAAGTTTGCAAAAAAAGGACAAACAAGGTAATCCAGGACACACATAGGGCAATGCATATTCTTTAATACATTTTTGTTTATTTCAATGTGATGCTCATACTACACAAATCCATTCACAAACCACAGTTAAATTCTACTGAGGTAAAAAAACTATATTTGGTCCACGATACACGTGAGTTAACTCAAGGTCTGCTGTCTTAATAAATTTCAGTATAACAAAACTTTTACTTTACTAATTATTTGTACAAAACCCCCAGCACCTCTACATACTACTGATAGAACAGGAGGTTGCAAGGTACATAACTGCTAATATGTACACTAATAATTAATAACAATTGCTAAAAAGTACAGAATTTCACAGCAGCAATAAGAAGTATGAGCCAGTGAAATCGAAATACTTGTTGTAAACAGAACAATATACGCCAGACATAGCAGAGTCCAAGCAAATATTTCGAATCGCTAAGTAAAGTCAGCGAATTGCAAAAAAGCCTACATTCATTTAGTGCCTATAATCCATTTAACTGAGAAACTTGCTTTGTTAGAAAGAGCAACAAGAGCAGGTTACAAAATAGGCTGTCTTCTAAAGAGCGTTGGTTCGGCCTCAACACAAGACTTGCACAATAAAAGTATCTCTAACGCTAGTACGAATTGCTTGTTATAGTAAATGAACACCGCGTTTATGATCACAAACTCGTAAGTAACCGAAATTGGAAAAGTATATTTAATGAATTGTCTTTAAGGTTGGTCGTTGGAAACAAGCGCGTAATATGGAAGCTCTCAGAAAAAAACAAACAGGGGTTCTGTGCTCGCTCAGGCATAGCCAATTCCCAGTGATATAGGCCAGGGGTCGGCGACCATTATTATTATCTGACCATTATTATAGTTATTATATTCACATATTATGTGACACTCCCCTTTACTATATAACTCTCACCACGGTGCCAAAACCCGCCTTGTTGTCACTGCGTAGCGAATGGCTGACATGGCACATTTGACCTACCTCAAGTTTGGTTTGCATTTGTAACCTGTGACTGTAAATTACTAGTTTGTGAAATGCGTGCGAAAATGGAGCACGATCTCGATTCCAATTTTGTACAGTACTTCTAATACGCAAATTTTCTGCCTTTGCCTTTGCCGTCTGAAGCCCCCTCCCCCCCCCCCCCCTACTGTTTGCCGCCTGGCCCACTCTTATGTCACCTTCATGAAAACAGTTCCTTCCCCCGAGAAGCTTTGCGACCTCTGATTTAGGTTCTCTGTGTATGAACGTATTATGTTTTCTGCTTTCTCTGTGACAACCGAAATGAATGAATACAAGCAACTGACATAGCCGGAGAAGGTTAATATTTGTGTTACACATTTATGGTATGGCTCGTTTACGCTTTAAAACGGGCATTTCACAGATTCACTTTTTGTTATTATATTTATAGGGACGGTGAAAATGCCACTACTAAACGTAGAAAAACTGCCTCCGTATCTAGAGAAACACTTTATTTTTGTTCTGAGGGAGCGAGACCTGAAAGAGCAACACGGACGAGGCCGGCGTAACGGCCCAATCACGTGAAAGCTCGTCCTCCCACTGTGGAGGGAGCCTAATTGATTCTGCAGTGGTTTTGAGTAAAGTTGATCTTTCTCCCGCTCTCTGTCTCTTGCAGGACGGATACGCGACCAAATGCGAGTCCACCGCTTGTAATGGAATGCCCTGTCTTGTAAGAAAACTTCTTTTTTTTTTGCATATATGACTATACTGAAAAAATTGGCCTCACCGATAGCGTGTGTTGTCTGCGTGAGCTACAGTCATCCACCAATTACTGCAGTTATCCCGAACGCTACTGAATGCTACCGGTTAGGCTTTAAACTTTAAATTATTCAGGCAGTTTACTTCAAAAAATTATATGTTAACAAACTCATCTAGTTAAACAACGCCAAAATTTCAGCACTATAAATACAAATATAGTTTCCGTTGTACTACAAGAAAAGACGCCAAAATATACATTGAAAAAAAAAACCGAGCGTTTTTCATATAGTAGTTGCATAGGAGATGAGTATCGAAGTTAGAAGTCACAAAATACATGTGATGTATGGGGTCTCTTCGGTGCACTCAACGTACTTTTTTCACGAATGCTACAAGTTTTTTTTTTTTATGTAGACTGTATAGAATCGAGCCACAGCCTCTCACAGCTTCTAACAGATCTGCCGCTGATGTTTGGAAACATCCAAAAGACAGCGGAAAAGACTTACGTGGAAACGAAGCTGTGGCACCCTGCGCTCGAAGCGCTGACATTTCGTCACTCTTACTCTGCTGCCATCATGCTAGAAAATTCAGCGCAGAGACTGCGCACATTGTCTCCATTGATGGGCGTGGCTTAGCAGTGTATCCTGCCAGCAGTTAAGTCTAGGTGGTGCGCAGCTGCGCCTTCGTTATCGTTAGAAATGGACGTGAAAGTTTTTTAACAGAGCAGCTGTTCAGAAATTTGTTGTTTCTTCAGATCAAATCAAAAATAAATGTCAGTAGAAAAGAGTACGCGTCAACCGCCAGCGATAACCAGGGTATGTAAATAGTTCACCATTCGGTACAACAGACTGTCAACACGCTTCTGACGGTGTAATCGTGCTTGCGCCAACACAATACCAGTGCTCTAGAATGACTACGCAAGCCAGCACCACGAACACGGGGAGGAAATGATCCGTTCGCGACACACTGGTTCAGACGCTGCTTTAGGCGGCATCAGCCTATAAGTAGAAGAGCGTTGTCCGGTATAGGCGAAATTTCTAGGCAGTGATCATCACCATGGTTGAAAGATAAAGCAATGCCATCGGTCTCTTCATTTCTAGCCATGCTCACGTGTGAACGTATCCACTTTGAAACTAGTGACACTCCAAAAGAGAGAATTTTTCGACGGATTCCGTGATGCTTCTAAGAATAGAGCTGTCGGTCTATATTCGGGTCGGCCAGTCCATTGCAAAAGAAGGCTCCAAAAGCACTCAGTCTAATGCTTGGTACAGAAGCGTTCATTTATACATTAGCGTGCCTTTGAATTGATCAAATAAGTGTAACTGGGCTCACTGATATGATGCCAAAAACGGTCAGTTAAACTTGTTGTGTAATCCAGCAATCGACAAATGATTGGAAGGGTTGCGTTCGCTGTGACCTTTCGATAATTTGGAAGCAGTGGTTATGTCGACATAGTCATTACTGCCAATCAACTTAACTACTACGTGCCCCTCCAGATAATATGTGCCTTCCTCTCTCCTTGTTTTTTTTTTACTTGGTTATGTGTATGCAAACTTAATTTAATAATAATAATAATAATAATAATAATAATAATAATAATAATAATTATTATTATTATTATATTATTATTATTATTATTATTATTATTATTATTATTATTATTATTATTATTATTATTATTATTATTATTATTATTATTATTATTATTATTATTATTATTATTATTATTATTATTATTATTATTATACGTTGAGGAACGAGCAGTCTGCGGCTTAATCGTTTCACGCTGGGTGTTGCGGAGCTAGATGACATGTGTTGGACGCCCGGGGATGATCCTTTCTGTTCTAGTTCTCGCATTACCGAGGGTTAATGCATATTTCACGCCATCATATCGGCATTAGGTATACGTCTGTCGGGCCACGGTGAATGCTGGCATCAAACCCGTTCATGTTCAAATAAAAAACGCGCACGTTGCGTTTATAGCGAAAGCTGTTATGTGATCAGGACATGGGTCGCGCGAGGCGCCGTAGTTGTCCGCCACCGCTGCTGCCACTGCCACCGCTGGTGTCCGTAACAAGTATCGAAAAAAAACTCATATAATATATTAATAAACATTATTGACACAATGGAATTCGAACCCGGGTCGTCTGAGTGCAAGCCCAATACTCTACGGCTCAGTGACGCCAGTGCTTTGAACCTGTTTCTAAATTGGCCTCACGCAAGCTTGATATCGCGAAAGGTATTGCGTTAATATGAGTAATAAAGCGTTTTAGAACATCAAAGAAACAGCCAGGCGTCACAAAATACAAAATGCGTAACAAATAGGTCGTCCGATGCTCTAACCAATCAGGAAACTTGTTTTTGATCCCCTATTACCTGTGACGTATACCAACTTCAGGCAAATTGATCGCTGTCAGCCACTGCATGAACAATTTTCATAAAATTCATTACAAGTGTGTAGCGGATACCACTCATCTCCAAATAATGACGAACGTTAGCATAGTTCATGCTGGCCTAAATACAAAAACTTATGAATATTTATGACGTAGTGCGTCCCCAGAAGTGTGCTTGTAACATCCCATAGAGTGTTTAGAAAAGGCTCTGCAAGGCCACTCTTCTAGCTTTCACTGTGAGTCTGCTACACGTTCCACGCAGGCCTGGCGTTTTTGTATTTACTCCCAAGTTTATTCCAGCAACAAAATACAGAAACAACACATATGCCGTTAAACAATTTTGGCGCTGTCAAGTTCTACTGTTGGTGACATATTAGCCTCGGTGCATACATAGAGGCTCGACGTCAATGCACTACCGGCCCGCCTACGCAGGGCCATTATTTCTCGTAGCTTATCCCCTAATTCTCTTGGTGTGCGCCCGCGAGAAGAAAAATCTTTTCACGACATGCTCGTTGGAGTGCTATTTTATGACATTGTCTTTCATAGACAAAATTCTATGTTTAGCTTAAAATTTGACTGCTTTCGGAGGCGCGGAGCATTGAAAATTTAGGCCAACATACTTGTGAGTGCCAAATGTAATCATTTCTCTCGTCAGCTTTTCAACAGCTTCATTTAGGAGCTCCATGAGCTTTATAAGAGCTGCTTTCTTAATATACCATATCATATGATATTACAGGTCTCACTTTTGCTGTGTGGCACTGGCCTGGAAAATGCTTTGTATAAAGTAAAAGCCGGAGTCAAGCGGTATTATACTAGGAAAACAAACCAAACACCTTGCCTAAAAAATATTTGATGCATTTATCTGGACAGTGATCAATGACACCAGCTTGTATTTTTATATATTATTCGTTACCCTGCATTCTGATGCATTCACATAACTGAGGCCAATTACTTGCAGAGTTCTCAACTTGCGGAGCCCTGAACTGCTTCACGGCACTGCAAATAATGCGGCCTCATGTATACTAATACACATATATTTCCCAATGTTCCTACGCATTTCATAAGCTTATTTTTCTCGTACAATTAGAGACGTATTCTATCAAAACGTTACAAATCATGCAATTTAAAACAAACCTATGTATATGCCTTAGCTTCTAGGGCACACGAAAAAATTACTGCCGGTCGGAAACTGCTGAAATGTCTAATGATTCGGCGCGAAAAGAACAAAATAATATGACCACTACAACTGCCAATACATTCACTGTTGTCAACTAACAGTCATAATACAAGCAATCGTATTTATTTGCAGAACTTGTTTACTAGACCACCAAGTGCCGTGGCCGGTATTTGCAAGCGAAGGAGCTGCGTTCCCTTTTATGAATTGTGTAAGTTGCTGCAATCACCGCATTCATTAAAAGTTTGGCTTTGTGTAAAAGTTTGTCAAGCATTTTTATAATCCTAGCGTCAAAGTAAGTTAGAATATAACTGGACTACTTTTGGTGATGGTATAATGATATGTGCGGGAAACTTAATTGGTAAAACATTTCCACAGTGAAAAAACAAGGTTTGTGAAGTAATACTGCGATTGAATATTGCAATATTTTTAGAGCTTGTTTGGGGTTTGCTCTTTCATTCAGGTGTATAATTCTGTCACCCTTTTCAATGTTCATTTTTTTCCAGTGCTATGAACTGTCTATTATTATTGCATCATACACCTGTCAAAACTGTGTGATCAGTGAGCAGTCACTCGTCGTTACAATAAAACAAATGCGTCTAAATTCTCAAATCACTTGGTGAATGGCTAGCCATCTGAGATTTTGTTGATTCGTTTGATATGAGAGCTTGAACGTCCCAAAATCACTATATGATTTTGATAGGTGCCGTAGTAGAGGAGTTCAGAAATTTTGACCACCTAGGTTTTTTTAACGTGCACACAAATCTGAGCACACGAATGTGCAGCAATTTCGCCTGCATCAAAAATGCATCTGCCGCAGCTGGTGTTCAATCCCGCAACCAGTCGTTCAGCAGTCACGAGTGCCTTATCCACTAGAACACCACAGTAGGGCTTCTGATATTTCGTGAAATATTCTGAATACGTAATAAAAGCACGTAGCGACAGTATTTACTTCGGCAAAACAGAAGTGAATTGAATAAATTAGGTACTGTGCCACATAAATATATTCTGAATAGCTCTTTGTTTTCTTTCTTAAGCATATGGAGAACTATTGCGAGTCCATCCTCATCGATTCCATAAATGTAAGGATAAAGAACACGAAGCTGTAAGTTTCAATTTTGAATTATCATTACAAAGTAATTTAGAATTGTTTATAAAAGATAATATTGAAAATTTTTATGTACGCTGCTTGTCGGAACGTATTGAACGTTTTTATAAAAGCAAAAATATTAGCGTTTACGAAAATAGCTTGTTCTTCTGGTGCCTTATGTGGCTCTTTATTTAGCTTTAAAATCATAACCGGAGTGAAGTGGCGCCAAAACGCGGTTGGTACATGTAGAAGCTGCTCTGTTCTGTCCACCAGTCGCCACGCTAACACGGTGCCAAAGTCTTGGTCTGCCTTGTCACCAAACCAAATCATACCTTGTGGTTCACGGCACCGGTCGCGAAACTATCTACGATAGCACACTGAAAGCATCCGTGGTACTTAAAGTGTGGCAGTGCTGCCGGTTGGCACTGACTAATGTGGTGATAAAGTTTTTCACTTTACTGCTGCTGCGAAGTGACACCACCCCACCAACGAAGATCACAATGAGCGAGACCTGTATGGGATGTAGGGCGCACTTAAGTCGCATGCAAGTTCGTTGTTTGTACATGAACGAATAAATGAACAAATATACAAACTAATAAATAGGGGCTTTAGCAGCTGGGCGTACATGGTAAAGGGTTTCATTTAAGCTTTTTGTTGGTCGTGTACTTGCACTTAATAGTTTTTATACGTAGCGTGGCAACAAGTATATTTTATGCTCAGAAAAGTACATAGAAATGCTTCACATAGTAAAGACATGTACATTTTTCTGACGTACTTAAGCTTTATTTATACAAAATTAACAACTACAGAGGCATGCCTTGCTATTCATATTTTTCAATCTACTTTTTCATAATCGATTAATGGATGCTGGATCAATGCTCCCAGGTTTGTACACCACCACGTCATATACAGCTTCAATAATTTCTGAAGAATTTCTTGGAAGGAAACAGTGCAAAAAACAAGAAACTGGAGGATACGGACAGGGCGCTCTGCATCGTACAAACGCGCCCAAGCGACCACTTTAGAAGAAATTCTGTTACTGAGTCATTTAAAAAATGGCTCAATCATATGGTATTGTGGAAGAGGTCTTTCTGGTTATTTTTGTAGTTCATGTTGCTAAAAATATTTATTGAAAGAATCTGTGCCTTAAGGGAGCATGGTGATTTTGTAATGCATAGCGAATTGAAGCGAGAAGAACATTATCATATTTATTTATTATTTATTTATTTTCAAATACTGCAGCCCAATGCAGGGCTGTTGCAGGAGTGGGGTACGTACAGTAGGAAAGAATATGAGTAACATCAAAACAAGTTCATCATCTACTAAGTACTATTGTGTGCTTCTAAATAATTATCCCCTTATAATACATCTTGTATCGTCTTTTTCGCAGCGAAACGTCCTATCAAATTGTCACTATTACTGCAAAGTGGCGAACTCATGGTACCACGGCTACTACAGCAGTAATCTGTCCAGTGCTTGCTACGTAAGTTCGTTTACGGATAAAGCTTTTAAGAGGCTGAGTTATGACACGGCAACTTTGTAAAGGGCAATGCTCCGGCAATGTACGGTTATGTGAGCCGCCAGAAAAGGCTTATGAATACACCATTATTAACCGGAATTTCGAAGCAACATCATAAAACATACAAGCAGAAGTACTTATGAATCAGTGACTTCAACGTGGACATTATTGTCATTCCTACCTGGCTTTGTGGTGAGCTCTTCATCACTTTATGTCACTAAATTTATGTTCATTGTGGTAATTCTCCAGCATATACGTGAGACACAACAGTACGCTAATATGAATCATAAATACAACAAAACAATATGAAGCACAGCCAAACACGAAGCCTTAATACTAATCGGCAAATAATTGTATACTGATGCACCTTAAGGACACGTTCCGCCCATTCATCAACATTCCCTACTTGAAGGTGCGTAGATTTTTTGTGTTGTTCCAGACATCACGAAGCCTATTTTCACCACAGCTTGTTTTAGCAAATTACCTAAATGCATTATCAAAGGTGATAGTTGAGACAACCGCTACATGCTGATCGAGCATCGAACAATATCTGGAATGACTTGGTTCTTATACTTCTTCGGTTGACTGTATTCACCATGCTCATGGCCTATAGGTGGCGCGCCGTACAATTCAACTTGGCTGCGGGTGAATGATCAACCCGTGAACTCGATCAACCCGTGAAATGATCAACCCGTGAAAAGATAGGATGCACGGACGTACTACCCGTGCCACTTTCGCCTAATGAACAGTTGATCGTCAGTTGAATGTATATTGGACCAAAATACTTTCCCAAACTACAGGAACTGCTGAATTTTCGATACCTCATTTCTTGCCGCAGGGCGAAGGGTGGTGGTGGCAGCTGATCGTCCGTGTATCAACCATGCCTTGCGTAATCCTGTGCGCGCTACAGAAAACTGTGGAAACTAAAATTCACGTATGAATTGAATTGCACTTTAACATAATTTGTGCCAAGCCTGCTTGGCGAATTTGTCGCAGTAGGCCACTAGCGAGTAACACGCCGTCGCGGCTGCACAGGACTGAATGTTTACCATAGTGATGATTTGCAAACATATCGCGCCGTCGTCATTACTTACGCTGTAAGCATCATGCAGCTGCTTCTTCAAAGGAACACAATCATTCAACTTCCATTTAAGTAGCGCTTGTATCACAGCCGTCATCAGACTCCAACAGTGCACAATTCGCTACACTCGGATGTTACAGGTCCCATCAGCGCGATCGAATCAATGATATCAAAACGAATACACGCGTACGCTTTTTGCAGCGTCTAAATTGTGAAAATTTGTCAAATAACAACGTCGTTCGAACGGCAATGGTGAAGTGCAGAAATTATCGTGGACTGTAGTCGTATACTGCATATTTCATTGCTTTAACCATTTCACTTCGCTGGTCGAGCTCAAGTGTATTGGCGGCATGCGGTGTTTTGTAATTTTCACTGTGATTGGGCTACATGCAATGTACAAATCTGTGTTTTTTTAATTTTGAGCTCGCTGAAGGATATTATACTAGATATACAATCACGGTTACTTACAAGCGTGAAAAAAATAAAACAACGCACGACGGTACGCGAAGTGCAAATGGCTGCTTTAGAGCTAGCAGCTGATCGTTCCTCGTCGCTGTCAATCACAGCGCGCTGACAGCCATCTACGTCCAGTGAAAAATGATCGACGCCAAGGCGGTTCCTTTGAAAATCACTGGTGAAAGTAATCTGAGAAATTCTTTCCGCCGAACGGCTTTGATAGCACCAACAACGCGTCATTGCACAGCCCCTACACGGCATCACTGATCACGCTTACTTGCGGTTGTGAAGAACATTTTGCTCAGATACCCGGCAAGAAAGGAATCGCTTGCAGTGTGCTGCCATCTATCAATGAACGTAAAAAAAAAACTATCCGCGCAGCGTATGCCAATATTCAGAAGCGCAAATCGGGAGCCTGTTCTACTTTCCACTTGCAATAAATATTACGGAATTCCTTCACTACGAAAGCACTGATGAGTGCTATACGCACGTAAAACAGGGTGAGTTTCAACTGCAAATGGTAGACGAAAATCGCAGCTTTGCCGCAAAGGCGTATCAATAAACGCGATAGCAACAAATTGGAAGGTCACGCGCAGAATGCCAACCAGATAGAAACGTGACCCGCGTTTCTAACGCACAATCACGCACGAAACGTACTCGCAGGTATACATGAACGTGAATACGCGTCTCAGTTGTTACTTCGCTGAATCTTAAAAGCGCGCTCTTCTCGCAAACGGAGGCTGTGCAATAATTGCGCTGACCTTTTTGCGCCCGGTAACTAACACAGAATTGTTCACGCGAAACCCAAAGGAAAGACAAGACGTGCGATTCTCACCACTGCAAGATAAGGGTGCGCGATTGAGCGTACATCCCCTTATTGTCTACGTGGGCCAAAGTACACGTGAGAGATGAGAGCCGCCGCACACTCAGTGCGCCACCTTGCTCATGATGCTGGAAACACGATAGCTTTCCCACCATTTTGCCAACAGCGGTTCTTGTTAGATATGAATAGCTTGCCGTTTGATCGCTGGAGGAGGTGCTTTTTAGTGGCTCAGTGGTTAACGCTGAAGTTCACGACGCGGAGGTCCCATGTTCAATTCGCGCGCCGGAGTCATAATGTGGGGGATTCATTTTTTTGCGTTTTCATATAAATATATTAAGTATACACATACGCTGCATGACATCGACGCCTACACTGACGCTAGTGGCGAAATACAGCCGAGAGTGTTCATATAATTGCTATCGCAATAACAATATTTAACTATCCAACGTGTCTGCAGAGAATCTTGCGAAGCGGATATGTGCACTCTGTGGGCTATAATCGAAAGTGCGAGTTGCCGCGTATTTTCACGTAAATTTTCTTCTCGC